AACAGAAGAGGAAAAGGAGGAAGAGGAGAAGAAAGGTAAGTATGAAAGCTCAGGCTAGGAGCCCTCCTAGCTCTGTGGAACTTTGCCTGTCATGTACTTTCCTACTGCACTACTGTGTGTCTTTTTCTTTGTTATTTTTCTCCCTAGATGAGAAAGAAGAGGAAAAAGCAAAAGAGGAGAAAGCAGAACCCAAAGGGTGAGCCCTGTCTCCTGGCTGTGCCTGTACTTCCTTGTGCATCTACCTGTGCCCTCAGTGAGGTGTTGTACAACCTGAGGGGTTGGAGGAGTGATGTGGTAGTTAGATGATGGGCCATATAAGCAGCATTTTTTAAGTTTGTGGCTCTGGCTTGTTACTAAACCTTGGGCACAGCCTGAGTTGCTTCTTTAAACCAAATTCTTCACTTTTTGCTTTCACAGGGTGAAGGAAGAGACAAAATCCACCTAAGATGGCTGCAGCTGGACAGTACCTGTCAGTGCATAGTTGTCCTAGGTTAGCTTCTCTGGTTGCCTCCCATTCCACAGGATTTATATTTTATATATGTTTCTGTATATATTTCTATATAAATATATAAATGACTTGAGAACTGTAAATTATTCCTTGCTGCACTCCTCTGGGAGCAGATAGGGAGGATTCTGCGGAGTAGGCAGACCTGCACTGCCCAGATTTGGTGACTGGGAAGTTTCACTCTTGCCTTCCACTGCCTCCTTAGTGTGTCTTTAAAAAAATTCACTTCCTTTCTTTACTCTCTCCTCTAAAATAACCACCCTTGGAAAAATAATAATTTAAGTAGAAGTAGTATCTGCATTTCAGGTTAGGTGGAAAGATGGCCATGAAATTTCTTTTTGGTTTTAATTTTTTTTTCCTTTTTTTTTTTGGGGGGGGGGGGGGGGGGGAATAGGAGTTCCCAAAATGAAACCTGTGAGAGAGACTGATTATTCCTTTGGTTTTCAGTTTGATTCCACCATGGCAAGTTAACTGCAAGCTGGTGCCTCTTCTCAGGGTCAAATAGTGCAGTTCTTGAATAGAGTTGGCTACCTCCCTGCAGCAAACTTGCAGAAAGAGATGAAGCAGCTTAAAAAAAAACCAATCTGAAAAGCGCTTTAGTGAATCAGCCCAAGAGCCCTGCAGGTGCAGATCTGGAAAATGCAAAATAAATTAAAAAAAAAATCACTCTAATGTGGTGGTTGATGTTTTCCAAGATCTTGCAGATCCAGTTAGTGTGGCAGCATTCTGCATCTCGAGTAAGAGAAGAAGGGATGACACTTTTATACCTTTTTTTTTTTTCTATACTTATGCCCCTCTTTGTGGGGAGAAGCGAGTTACTGCCCAGTTGGCCGCCTGCTTTTGCTTTTCCTGCTTGTTCTGCCCCTGGCTACACACGTTACATGCTGTAAGGTGCTTTCTCAGTACTGATCTGTGTCTTAGGCTGAAACCACCACAGAAATTCCCAGCTTGTCTAAAGGCCAGGCCATACAGAGCCCGGCTGAAAGCTCTTGTCGATGTTTGTCACTCACTGAAAAACAAATGTTTTCAAATTGAACTGTTCTCTCTCTCTCTTGCTCTCAAGGCCAGTAAATATGGAGAACCTTTTTATCAGCCCACTGAGCTGTTATCTTTATAAGGGAGCAGCAGATGGGGCTCTGTACATTTTTATAACTACTCCTCTTCCTACTCCCACGCATTATCTCACACCCAAAAGTCTTTGTGACCAGAACTGGCCTTTTTCTTTTGCATCTCGTTTTGTACAGCTTGATCATTAGTTGAGCTTTTGGTGAAATGCTTTGCAGAAGTTTTGCAGGCAGTTTTGACTCGCTGCTCTCCTTTCTCAGGGGGATTCCTCTGTCCATAAGAGGATCTGTACCTCCCACGGAGCGCTGCTGATGGTTTCAACTCTAATAATGCTGCTAACTTAACACAGGTTATTTTTTAAATGTTTTATTTTTTTAAATACGTTTTTTTTTCCCCTTTTCCACCGTGAGTTTTGTAGTCTCTTTGGATCTGAGTGATGTGTCACTCCCGCTCTTCAGTGTTTGTATGTGAAGCGAGAGAGATCAGTGTATCTTTGTGTCTGGGGAGGGGGGGTGGGGGGGAAATATATTGTGGTTTTTTAAAGATGCTTTTATTTTGAATTTTGAGAATCTTTGTAATAAAACTGGTACATTTCTATGGTTGGTGTGAGTTTGTACTGCTTTCTGCTAAGAGGAAACACTGGGGTAGAGTGGGAGTTGTTTGTTTTCAGAGCCATTGCTGGAAAATGGTGCAGTACCTTGGTCATGATCATGATGTGATATAGGTCCCAGCTACAAAAACAACAACAGCTGTAATAAGGTTTTGGAAAGAAAGGTGAGGTGAGGTGTGATTACTTTCCTCCCCTGTTTCACAAAGAGGGCTAGATGTGTTGGTTCAAATACATCAACTGAAGCATTTTATTTGGAAAGATTGCTTTAGTTTCTTTTGGGGATGTTTGTTTGGTTTTTGGATTTTTTTTTCCCCCCTCTCTGTGTTTTATAAAATAACTTTGAAATTCTCCTCATGCCCTTTCTCTCCAGAAAAGGTAAGTTGAAATACCACAGGTTTTGTTTGCTCACAGCTCTTCTACTAAGGGTCACTAGGGCAATTCTTGTGCCTCTCTTTCCTAAATTACAGCTGGGTTCTCATCCAGCAGCATTGCTGATGCTCATTGGGTTTGTGGTTTGTTTGCAGTGATGGTGCTTGGTGCAGCTTGTGCTCTGACAGCAGTGCTAATCTGGAGAAGGAATAATCAGCTATGGGAAGGGAGTATCTCTTGGATGAACTTTAAAGTGATTTTTATCTGGTATTCAAGTGAAAAAAATTTCTGTAATATAATTAGGAGCAGGTTATTTCTGCAACTGAGCATTGATCACACCCAAAATGGACACACAACATTCATAAGCCAAATTTGCTGTTTATATAATTAATAAAAAAACCCCTTTGTGTGGCACAGTTGACTCTCATTGCTGTAATAACACTCCAGGAGCCCTGAGTTATCCTTTTCACCGTAGCAGACAATTAAAATCCTTCCCTCCTTGAACAAAAACAAGCGTACCATTGAAGTCACCCTCTCCAGCTCCGTGTGTGACCGCAGTCCTTCTCTCTTCCAGTGTTTCTTAAAATGGCTGCCACGCTTCCCCACGGCAGCTCCCTGCCAGAGCCACCCAGCCCTGCATCTCAGCTGTGTCTGACCCCACAGACTGCGACCAACCTTACAAATAATTTAGAGACCACTCTGCCTACATTTAAAATACCCTTTTTTAGTTGGGTTTTTTTTTATGAATACCCTGCTGCAGTTGGAATTGGGTCGCTTGCTTTAGCTTCTCACTATTGATTGAAAGATGTGCTGCATAAAACTAAAGAATTTTTGGCCGTTTCCACCTACCTCAAGGGCTACAGAAGAGCAGTGATGGTCCTTGCCCCAAGGCCCTGCCTTGTCAGAGTGGTGCCAGTTGGGCAAACAATGGTCCTTGCTTTTCTCCATCGTCTTTGGCAGTCAGAACAGCAGGGGCAGGTGATTAGATGGGAATTAGGAGCAGGCCATTAAATGGAGGGGCTGTGTGCTGCTGCTGCAGCCTACATGGGCAGGAGGAGCTCCTGGGGGGGCTGTAGCCTTCAACCTCTGAGCTGCTGGAGAGGGACAGTGCTCCTTCCTTCTGCTGCACACCCATCTCGGGGAAAAATCACCTCTAACCCTGTGCAGATCCCAGGAGAGGTGATAGAGGCACCCAGTGTGCCTTCATTTTCTCTTTGGAAGTCAATCTTGGCTCCTAGTTCTTGTGCTCCAGCACGGCGTTTGGGTTTTGTTTTTCAAGAAAGAGGAGCCAATCTATTCTAAAGCTACTAAAAAAAATATTAAAATTAAAGAAACCAAGCTTAAAATGGGAATTTCACCCATGAAAATGTATGAGAAAGGATTTTTTTTTTCTTTTCTATCTCACTAGGAAAAAAAAAATGGGTTAGATCTCTAAGAAAACAGGTACCAAGCAGCCAGCTGAACAGTGATCCTAAGGCAGCGACAAGAGGCTTGTGTGAGAAAGTCCTTTGTGGCTGTAGCTCTACATCTGCTGCAAGTCAATTAACTGTGAGCAGAGCCAGGGCTGGAGTGATTAAATGCAGCAGCTGTTGAACTAAATAAGCAACTGCTATCTTCCCCTGGCCCTCGTCTGGCATCCAGGACAAGAAGGACTCGAGCTCACCCATAAAGGGGTCACCATTTATTCCTTTCAAATGTTACAAGAAAGCCCATACAGCTTTTGTTTGTTTGTTTGTTTGTTGTTTTAGAAGTTGGAAAATTGCAAATCAAGTGGTTTTTGGCCATTAAAAAAATTATTTACAGAGAAAACAATGTTGCTTCACATTATACAGCTGGCAGGCCCCCTCCCTCCACCCCACACCCTAAAAGTTATCCCTTAGAAGCAGAATTAAACACAGCGGACTTACAAGCTTTATGGTTTTTTAAGCCAAGAGTAAGACATTATAAAAAACTAAACAGATTAGCTTTTAAACCATCGATTTCTATAAAAAGCACAAAATACTTGAAATGAAAGTCAGAACCAGGAATGTAAACTGAGAAAAAAGAATCCATTGAACAGTCACTGGTTTGCTGGGCTTTGAAGACTGCTGGGAGGTGACTGGGGACAGTCAGGAGACCAGCAGAGATACCAGAGCGGGATGGGAGATCTGGGTTCTTACAGACTGTAAATTCCAGTTATGTCCAGGATAATCTTCCTCCACAGTTTTAAAGGATTCAGGTAAAACTACTCCAGGTTGTGGTGGTGGTGGTGGTGGGAATCCAAACCAGCTTTCTAACAGGGGAGGGAAAGAAAGAACTGAAGGAGGGGGAGGAGAGTGTTGGTTTTAGAAGGTGGTGGTGTCAGTTCTAGGTGGGACAGGAAGGTGTGTGGACAAGGCAGCGAGTCCGTGGTGTTACCGGGATGGAGAGGACGGCGTCAGAGTCTTAAGTTAGGACGATGCCAAGTGGGCTCTACTCTTCCTTCTGCTCCACCGCTGCCGGAGCTGTTGTAGGCTCAGGCCCCACAGATTTTGAGGGCTCCCCTGGTTTGGCTGTATCTCCGTGGCTTTCCCCTGGCTGCTGCTGCTGCTGCTTCTCCTCCTCCTTCCTTCCTCCTGCTTCTGCATCCTCCTTCTCGGGCTCAGCTCCCTGCTGCCCATCCGCAGCCGGGCTGCTCTCCCCGGGGCTGCCCTGCTCCTCTGCTGTCCCCTCCTCGGGGGGAGCCGACGGCTGCGTCCCGCTGCCCGAGCAAGCAGGGTTCTCCTCGCCCTTGGCCTCTGCCTTCCCTTGCTCCTCCGTGGGAGAGGACCCCGAGGAGTCCCCAGCTTCTTTCTTACTCTTCCTAAACGAGATCCCGCTCAGCTTGAAGGATTTCTTGAATGAGAACTTCTTCCTCTTCTTGGGGGTCTCCTTGGGGGCTGCAGCACCTTCGGGTTTAGCATCCCCCA